CTCAAACTTGTTTGAACCTTGGAGTTCAAAGCTGTAGAGAGAATGATCTTCTACAGAACTTGTTTTAGAACACAATGTTAAGAAGTCTGGTTGCATATCTTGGGCCAAGCTTGTACATTAAAAGCTTTTGTTGCAAACATTTCGCAGGCTTTATAACTAAAAACTAGACCTGGAGATTCTGATTTCATTTATCTAGTTCCACACATAAAAAGATCTGAGCATGACATGACACAAAGCCAAGGAGGACTGGATTTAAGCAAGAAAGCATCAGTAGTGACCAGCTAACCTGAGTGTTCAGTGCTTTATACAGCAACTGTCAAATTACACTTGCTGTTTAAGAACAGCACAGGGAGCTCAAATTTTAAAGCTCTCCCTCCTTGTTGACAATGGCTCACGTTCACTCACTCAATGGCTCTAAGGAGCCACCAAAGTGGATGCAGATCAACACATGCCAAAATTTGAAAGGTAACAACTAATTCTTGCCTACCCCACTGCACAAACAGATGTAACCTAGCAAGGGTCCCATGGAAGCACATACCAGAGATCAAGCAGCAGCAAGTTAGCAAACTTCAGCCAGCTGCTTATGATGGTAAAACTCATGCTGTCTCTCAGAGAGAAAGAGCACAATGCAATAGCACTAGAGGCAAATACAGATTACTAACCTGCTCAGCAGCTGCTTGGCTACCCTGAAAGACTCATCCCCACCCCTCTGCTGAAGGCACCAGCCACACACCTGAATCTCCCTTCTCCTCCACTCCCAAGCCACTCATGAATCCTCTACCTCCCACCTCCCCAAAACCTGCAGACATCAAAGACACCTGCCTTGAACACCTGAAGAGCAGGGGGGCCTGACAGTCAAGAAATGCAACTCTGTATCTTCCCCTTCCATGCACTCTCTATTTTTTTCCCCCCCTCCATCCCTTTGAAAAAGGTGGCAGAGATAAATGGAGAACAAAGAAACAAGAAAAAGCCACAGCTTTGGCCCACACCCTGCCTATTACTTAAGGGGGAAGGAACTCTTCCGAAAGAGGAGGAAAAAAATGTGCTCAGACACAATGGCTCAAAAGGCCAGGCAGCAAACCGGGCCACTTTGTACTGCTAACAAGGGAAACCTAATTACAGGAAGAGGGCAAAGAGGGACAGATAAAAGGGATACAAAATTTCAACATCTGTTGCCATAAAGGGAGAAGAAGTGGGGAAACGCAAAGTGTCAGTTTGGTGTCAGTGACGGCGTAAAGCCACTTTCAAAGGGCTCAGAAGCGGGAGAAAAACCGAACAAGAAATTAGAGGGTTCTTAAAAAAAACAAAAAACCACTCTGCCAAAAATGCTTTCAAAAGAGGGGAGGAGATGGACAAAGGCTGGATATTTAAAAGGTAGAGGATCTGGGGTGGCTTGCAGGGCACAGCTAACTTTGGCCTGGTTTTCACAACAGCTCTCGTGCCCCTCCTCTGTCATGTTGTGTCACAGGAAAGGACAATGTAGGTCTTATGCATTCAAAGCCTTTACAGCATTTTGACTACCGCATCGGACAGATCACTGCTCCGTTTCAAACATTGGGCTTGGCAGAGTAACTCCAAGAGTTGCTGCAAAGTGACCTCTGGAGTATCCTACCTTATGGAGAAGCACAGGCCAGGGCATTTGTCACCTAAAGACACGCAGACCACCACGACAGGCTGGGGAGCAATAGTTCTTCACAGGCAAACAACAAATGCTGGCCTTGGACCTGTTCCCAGTGGTGCGTCACCCTCATCTCCCAAGGAGTTTAAACTCCCAAAGGAGACAGGAGGTGGGAAGCGAAAGAAAGAAAGAAAGAGGAGCAGGATCTGAAGAAGGTTTCCTTTTATCTTGCTTGCCATTAACTGGCTGTTCTGCTGAGCCACATACTAGCACTGGTCGATGAGACAGGAAGGTCTGAGCAGAGAAAGGCAAAAGGGAGCAGAGGTACCTGATCTGCAAGAGGGACAGCTGCCATCATATCCTTCACTGGCACAGAGAGGCAAGGAGACTTGCAAGAGGCCAAGGAGCCATCAAGGCCTGATACTTGACGCAAGGACACAAGTTAGTATCCAGTGGCACATACTGCTGATCATTCTCCTTTCCTGTGCAGACCTCTAATCACCTGTTATTCACAGCCCCACTCCACACACACCTTGAACCTGAGCGGCAGTAAGTGCCCAGCAACTTCCTAACACCTAAAAAGCAATCAGATGGCACAATGTAGCATCTGTTAAGATGAGATACATCCTCCAGAAGTGCAGCTAGCCAGCTTCAAAAGCATAAGAAAAAAAAAATCCTCCTTCATTACAGAAGAAAGAGCCAGGTGTAACAGCAGCTGGAATTTCAGCCATCAGAGACAGTGTCTTGGTATTACGCAGTCATTCCCCTGCTTTAGATTCCCTTTGACAATTGCTTGTTGCTGCCTGTTGAGGCTTTGATCCAACGCCATCATCTCAGCAGAGTCAGAAATGAAGGACGGTTGTGGGTGTGGGATGCACCAAGAGGTGTTTCCTTTCCCCACAAAAAATTTCCCTGACACCAAACACAACCAAGCCCTTTTCAAAGCCCAGAACATATTTCCAGGTGAAGACATTATTCCCTTCCTCTTGGAGGGATGAGAATGGCTGCCCCAGGGTCAGGGAACAGCGAAGGTCATAAATACGAAAACATACCATGACCAACAGCTACAAGCACCAGCCAAGGACTTATCTGGCCTGGAACTAAGAAGATCAGTACACAAAAGGTTATTTAAGCTTTAAATCCTTTTGTAGCATGTTCCAGCTCTCAGCTGTTGGGGAAAAAGACCACCTACCCCAAAGAAAGAGAATGCCACAAACTGCTGCAACATGACTTACACCCTCCACCACACAGAAGAAACCCAGCTAACTGAACTAACTGGTCTTAGACAGCACCAAACATTTAAGTGGTGCTAAAAATACCGCAGTTTTAAAGAACAGGTCTTAAGCATCGTTCTACCCAGTCTCATTTTTTTTGAGAGAGAAGTTGCCTGGATTCTGCTCTTAAAAATAATCTCCTTATTACATTCAACGGGTCAAACTGGCCCTTTGTGACCACAAGGAAGGGGTAAGTGGCAAACTGGGGGGGGCTGGCTCTGTCTGCCAGATTTTATCAGCACACACTGGGCAGAGGAGGAGCTTTTCAGTCCCAGGTAGCTCTAGGATTCTGAGTTTCCATGCCATGCTCCCAATTCTGGAGTCTGACCAAGGAGGCAACATGCTCAAGCCTCAAAGGAAGAAATAGCATTTCCCTACAACATCACTTCTGGCAACCACTGGAGTCTTTGAAAATTAATCCAAATCTCTGCTGAGAAAAAGAACAGTTTATGGAGAAGTCAAGACCTTGAAGGACAGCTCTGTACTCCCTCACTATGAATGACCGCATCAAGCTTCACATGCTAGTTTCCCAGCTGTGCTCCCTACTCAGTCTCCTGCCCTGCACGTGCTGACAAGACTCCCTGCTCACACACAGGTCCCCAGAGAGGAAAAGACCCAGTGGCATGGTGCATTCCAGCTGTGACAGGTGAAGAGGGAAGAATAACTTTGACACTCCAGCCATTGCAACAGAGGCCCAGTGGCCTAGGTTGCCTTGGCTTTTTTATTTGACTGTCACTCAGGCTTTGACGTTATTGAAAGATCAAACTCCGTTGTGCCTGTTCATTACCTTAATCCTATTTTCTACACAGCTTTATTATCTCTTCAGGCTTCCTTGGGAAAGGCTGTCAGAAGCTGGATCAGGGGGGAGAGGGTTGCCTATCTCCTCACCCCTGTCAGATGCCTCTATTCAGGAACAGCCTTCTTGATGGGCAGGGATATCACAGCACAACCCATAACCTTCTGGGGTACTCCAAAGGCACCACTGGACTAGGTCACCCAACAAACATGAATCATAGCTGAATGCACTGGTGTTGTCTTTCCTGCTCTGGTTTGTCCTTTGTGGGATGTCCCTTGTAAAGCCTTTCAAAAGACTTTACTTCAGAGAAAAACAAACTGGTTTATATTTGTATTTGATGCAGTTGACTCAATCTAAACTATAGATTAGAAGGAATTGGCCTCAGCCCAGCCCTGCATCCACACCAATCCTCCTCTACCTCCTTTCCACAAATGCAGCTCAGTATGCTGACACCCCTCAGACCCCTTCTGCCATTGCCCCCCTCTCTTCTCTCTCAGAGCCCACTAGCTCACCTCAATCCTGACAGCACTCCCTTGATAATCTGTGCTGTGCCACGCCCACCCAGAGCATACCAGTCCTAGAAAGCTGAGCTGCTGTTCAATAATCCTGCCAAATATTTGGTATCTGTCCATCACTACACAAAGACCCCCAGGCTGAAATTTGTCAGCAGTTGAGTCTCACATGAGGATTTGAGCCCAACATTTCCCCAGTTGCTAAGGTCAGCACCTTCACTGAACAGGAATTACTCAATGGCCCCAAATCTGAGGCCACAGCAATTAAGCTCCTCAATGCTTAATAAGACAGACAACACGCCTAAATCACTTCTGTAGATTATCTGTTACCGCCCCTCGCCAACCTGAGCTACCAGAAACACCAGCCAGGACAAGATGACTGTAGTACCTCGTTTGCCTCTGGCTGCTGAGTACTATGGAAAAGTGGGTGAATGGGAGGATGCAAGTCACCTTCTTCAGCCCTCTGGCTCAGGCTGAAGCATCAATTAAAACAGATGAAAAAGAAGGTGTAATGGGCATATCCTGTTTGTACATCGGTAATGGTAAGAAACCAAGATGGCTGGTCATCAACTAGAAAAGATGGGAAGAAAGGTCAAACTGCTCCCTACTGAATCAGAAACCACCCTCCACTTTTTCACATGAGTTTGTTCCATCCTTCATCCCATTCCACATCTCATGTTTAAACACCCCTTGCCTACATGGACTAAAGGAATGATTCTACAGCATCTCCAATATTGCATTTTTCACTGTTACCTACTTTCCTCGTCAAGTCCCTCCCTGCAACCTGGAAGCTCACTCACCTCTCAAGGTCCCAGATTCTCAGAGGTGAGGTGTGTCCACAGCAGGCTGTCCCCGTCACAAAAGAGCTGTTTAAAAAAAACCAAAACAAACAAAAAACCACTTACTAATCCTCATGTTCCAAATAAATAGTACATGAACAAAACAGAGAAAACAAGCTACAAGACAGACATTGAATTCTAGTTCAAGACTATTTCAGCATGTCCCACTGCATTTTACAAGGAGTAGCCAGCAGCAAAGGAAGAGGTGCTCCAGAGCTCCCAGTAGCTGAGCTTCCCAGATGCAGCAGATCACAACTGCAAAGATTTGGCAGGACATAAAGATGTATTTGCATATGCAAAGGAAAAACCTAAAACAGGAGCGACTGTAAATTGCAGTGACATTTTCAAAACAGTTAGTGCAGTACTCAGCACATTTCATACACAGTCAGCACTATGCTGCAGAAAGACCCCATGGAAAATTCCCTGTTACTTCCTACTTCATGTCTTGCTTCTGTTTGCTGCCAACTTCTAAGCACAATCATGAATTGGCTGCAGCATCACAGGCCTAACGAATCACAGAACAGAGGTCTCCAGTCCAGCCTGCTCAAAGCAGGGCCAATTTCAAAGCTGGATCAGGTTGCCCTCCCCTGTGTTCAAGCACTCTCTATTAGCACAGCTCTCCTGCAGCAATATTTGGCTCAGTTCACACTCTCCAGCAGGGTCCACTCCAAAGTCCTCTTTGGCAAAGCTACATCCCTACTGCACATGCTGGCTCCAGAGGTCGCCTGACAGCCCCTGGCCTCAAACTAGTTGATAAGACAGGAACAAATCCTTAAAATCAAGCAGCACGAACACAGGTGCTGTGGCTCCCTGCACCACGCTGCTTGTTTTGTGCCAACTTCCTATCCTCAGTCCAAATAAGAGAAAGCAGCTCATACAAAGTAAGCTATAAATGACCTTTCACAAAGCCACATTTATTGCAGTTACTGAGAATAAAATGCCAAAACTATGTTTAAGTCATTGCAACAAGGATAGCATGAATGCAGGAAATGGAGCCTGCTTTAAATAAGAGCCAGTGCTATGCTTTGCCTAAACATCTTTTGCAGCATGACACAGGGCTGGCAGCTGAAAGAGGAAAGCAAAATAAGGAAACAAGGTCATATCTGTAAAAATAGCAGTTTTCAAACACTTCTTTGGTCCTCTACAACATTCTGCCTTTGGAAGTCAGAAGGTGTCTCCAAGCCTCTACTGAACCAGGAAGGGATACTTGCAGTGTCCTTGACTTCTGTGAGAAGCACTACTGCTCGTGTTACAAGGTACCCAGCAGCAAAGAGGTCAACATGCGCTTAATTTGGTCAAAGCCAGTGAAGAGCCATGTGGAAGCAGGGCCAGAACTCAGGATTCCTATTCTGAGCTCCATGGTTTAGCTGAGCAATTGGTTTCTCCAAACCATAAGGCCAAAGCAGCACTGCCAATATACTCTGCAAAAGAGGCAAGCAAATCTCAAAGAGCTACAGGAACCAATAAAGAGCTACAGCTACCAAGGTTCTCTTTTTTTGCTGGCTTTATCCCTCCTACCCAAACTCACATATCTGGAGGTGTCCCCAAGTCCTGAGACCCTCAGTGCTAGTCAAGGCCTGCAGCACCAGAGCTATTTCAAAGTCTCTCCAACCAGGCTGTTTAACATGCAAAAACCCAGGTTCACTGGCAATGCACCTGTAATTGGCCCAATGCACCTGTAGAGCACAGGGATCTCTGCACAGGTGCTACAGGGTGCACGTTATTCTTCTTCATGAAGTCCCTGACCAAAGTACGATAGTTTAAGGAAAAGCCAATTCCTGTTGCTGTGCAGCAGCCATGAGGACCATTTAAGAAAGTATGCAGCATATTTGGAAACAGGGCTTTGGCTCAATAGCTGCCTTCACCATAGTGCAGGACAAGAGGTAACTTCTCCCTTATGCCAGAGTATCCCATCTCAGAGGAAAACAAGCAAAAGACACCCACTCTGACAGCTCACTGGTCAAACCCCACGTCTCAAAAGCAGCACTTTGGTCAGGGAGTCCCTCAGCTACAAACCTAGGTGTTGGGTTCTGTCCCTCCCTTCCCAAACATAATCCATTAATAACTACTAAAGCCAATTACCGTGGTTAGAAACATAATAGCAGTCAGGGAGTCAATCAAGCAGGCAATTGGGCGCTTAAGATTTTTCTTTTGGGGGACAAACTGACTCTGTCCCAGCAGCGAACGCCCTCACGTGGGAGACAGGCCCCTTTGTGCAGAAGGTATGCGCAAGGCTTTGATGGTTGCCACAGGTCTAAATTAGCATGGAGGCACATCAACAGGGAGAAAAAGGTGGGAGGAACAGCAAAGTCTAATCCCTGCTCATGCTGTCAGTTCTGGACTTCAGCTTTCCCTCCTCAGTCTTTAACCCCCACTCCTAAAAAAAAAAAAAAAAAACACCAAAAAACCCCCCACTAGATGAAGATATTTCTCTCCAGCATTGCATACAGGCCTCAGGGCCACAAACAAGTCTCTTCTGGGTAAAGCTGACTCCATTCAGTCAACAGGAATTTTGTCTCATACTTCAGCAGGATCAGGTTTGCAGGCCTTATCTTTAACAGGCTGGAGCCCATTAGCAAGCAAAGATAAGACTTCTCTCAGAAAAGTGAGGCACCTTCACTGCCAGGATTAGAAAGCAGCGTTCACAAGACATGCACAAGAAGTGATGCCTATGAGAAATTGTCAAAGCCTGGGAGCAAACTGATCTGGAAGTCTAGATTCCCAGAGGATGACACAGGGCCCCTCACCTTGAGTTCAGTCTGCAGGCTTCACCTTCAACCCCTAGACTTCTCATAAATGGGAAACGCAGAGGTGGCAATTTAACTTCAAGCAAAAGGGCAACACAAGTCAGCTTTGATAGGTCTAAAACAACATGCAAATTTGAGTTAAGCATGTAAAGCTTGGCTCCAAAACTTCTGAAACATTGTTCAGCAGAACTGAAGCCTTCTACCAAGCTTCTTTCAGTTCACTTTCAACAAGGCTTTTTGTCTTAGGAAGCACAGAGCACACACCAAAAACTTCTGACCTGGAGAAGTGCAACCTCTTCACTACTGTTCTCGCCAGCTGCCCAAGGGAAACAATTCAAGCTGAGTTACTAGCTTAGTGAGTGTCATTTATTTTACCTACAATGCTTTCAGGAGTCAGAGAGACTGAGGAGAGACTAGACTGTCAAGAGGAGAGCACAAGATACCCTGTATATATTACTGTAGGGATGACTCATCTCCATGAACTGTATATGATACTAGCGATGTACACAGACCCTGACAGATGCATCTACTGCTATGTTTAAGTTTCAGATGGCCTCGGAGGTGTAAACCCCCTTCCCCACTAAGCTTTCTTCTGCCCTGTGAAAGATGCAGGGCACCATGACTCCAAAAAGCTCCTCTAATGGGAAAATGAACACCATTGCAAGGCTTCCATAACAGGTCATGTTGCCTTCACAGGGATCCCCCAGGAGGTAAAAAAAAAAGCAAACCAACATAGCATTTCCACCTCTGCTGGACCAGGAAGGCAAGGATTCTGGAGAGCATTAAGACACGTACTTCATATACAGCATGATTATGTTGTCCAAAGCAGGGCATTTTGCAACTCATCTGATATTTTGATGTTCTTTTTCCCATTTGAAACTCTCTACTGAGAAGGAGGAGAAAAAAGAAAATAAAAATAACTGATTCACCTGAAGCCAGACCTTCTCTATGCTACAAAAGAGACATTTCATTAGAGAGCCATCCCCCCACAATAGAAGCTGGGCCAGAGGATGAGAGAGAACACACATCCTGGCAGCAGTGGTTGAAAGAAACACAAGAACTTCTCTCCCTCTGACTGACTTGTGGTTGTTGAAGATCCTATGGCTTTTCTGGCAACAGCTGCAGTGTGTTGGCTACAGCTCCGCTGCAGTGATCCCATACCTGCCCCCAAGGTGCCAACTACACAGTTTCACCCCACCTGTAGCACCCATTTTTACCCCATCCCAGATAGAACATTGCCAGATGTGGATGAACCAGGGGGAAAGGGGCAGCTGTCCACAGTCCTTACGGAAAGATGCTGTTTGTCATAAGGCTTGGAAACAGACTCGGCTCCAGAGATACAAATCCTACTGTACAATCCATACCTTCCTCAATGCACACCCAGCCTTCAGAGCAGGCACTGCCTGAGCTGGGAATCCTGCAATGCAAAGTCACCAAGGGAACCTGGGTGAAACAGGCCCTTTTCAACCTCTTCTCTCTAAACTTCCCCCATGCCCCAAGCTTGCGCCCTTCCCCTGTACTTGCTTCTCAGATTGCTTCTCAAGTACCATTCTGCTCTTTGGGGGATTCCAAATCTAGAATCTGCTTGACACGTGCAAGAGCCTGTTCCTTCCTCCTCGCGCGCTCCCCCACCCCCTAGAATTGGATGTCGTTATTCCATTTTGGAGACTATTACATACAGCGACTCATCAGACCAGGAAACAAAGAAGTTATTACTTGACAGAGCCCTGCAGCTGGGAATGTGGAGGGCAGGGGGAGAGAAGGGGGAGCATTGAGGGAGACAGGACAGGGGAGGGGAGGGGGTGGCTAGTAGCAGCGTTATGAAAGCTATCAACAGAAAGGACAGCTCAAAGATGGGAAACGTCTTTTTTAAAAAGTCTCAAGTGGGATGAGAAAAGGAGTAGAGAAAGCAAGTCCAAGACAGAGAGAGGAAAAGAGAGAAAGCAGTTGGTGCCGACGGTGCTGCGGGTTAAACACACGGGTCTGTGGGTTTGTGTAGCCTTTGATTCAGCACTGACACGCTTTGGCAAGGGAGGCCACCGGAGCTGTCAAATCCTTCACCAACGTGCCCATCAATTGTATTCAGCTCTCCCCGACCCGCACTGGCATTTTAATTACTGTTGGGTAAACTAATTTGTACAAATGAAGGCAACTCTGCCTAATAGAATATGCAAGCTCTCTGACCTCTGACAGGCAATGACACAAGATACAAAGGAGGCAGAGGAAGGCTTTTTATCAGAGCCTTATTACTCTCTATTACTCCAATTAGTTAAGCTCCAG